TTCTCGAACGTTTGCGCCACGGAAGGAAGGAAGGAAGGAAGTGGTAGTAGTAGTAGTAGTAGTAGTAGTAGTGGTAGTGGTAGTGGTAGTGGTAGTGGTAGTGGTAGTGGTACTGGTAGTAGTAGTAGTAGTGGTAGTAGTAGTCGTCGTCGTCGTAGCAGCAGCAGTATCATCATCAGCACGCACACCGAGTTCGATGATTCGCGACGGGAGAGGCAAAGGCCCAAGGGTCCTCCGGAAGCTCTTAGACTTCACTGCTCAATTGGCAGTCCCCCATATCCTAATCCTATAACTAGTCCATCGAGGCCAAAAATGAAGGTTCCAGAGCAGCGGTACTATCCATTTCCATTTCCCCATCTTCGTAGCAAAAGCTTGCATCCTCGCTCAGAGCTGTATCGGTAGCGGAATTGGCCACCAGGGACGAGCCGAAAGCCTGCCCTTCGATTGAAGTGCTCTCGCTCATCAGAGCAGCCGATGAGCCAGCAACACTACCATCGATGTTGCCTGAAGCAGACGACGAGGTCTGAGCTGAAGCTGGAGCGGTACTAGCATCCTCCTGTGCGGAATGAACAGATTGTACCTGAGCCGCACCGGTTGCCGAACCATTCCAGTTGTGATGCACTTGACCACGGTTCCATTGCTCATCGCAGCGCCGGCTATGACGTCCCAAAGCGCAGTAAGAACAGCACTGTCTAAAGCCATTTCCACAGAGACGAGGGCAGGGAATATTTCCGCACGGACCAGTATTATACCGAGGCACCAACTGTATTCGTGCCAGGACTCTCTGCATCCGCTGACATCGCCGACTATGAAAAGCGGGCCCCAGCGAAGCACATGGATTGCAGCAGTGTCTGTGGCGCGCGGCCGAGTACTGCAGTCTGCAGCCTGGAGTGGCACAACAAGAGAGCGCCGTCCCAGGCCTCTCCCGGGTAGCTGCAGCCGCCATACGAGACCTGAGCACACGCCAAGCAACGGAAGCTGTGCTTACATGGATTAGCCGGCTGGGCGCGCAGTGGCATTTTGAAGCAGCACCCCAATTGCTACTTATTTGCAGCCATCTTGGCGACATGAGCGGGCAGCTCAGCGTAGCACTGCACACTGAACTTAGGGAAAGTTATGGTGTGGGCACCGGCATCAACCTTCAAGGTCATGCGTTGGAAGGCGGAAACCTAAGGTAGCCAGCTCCGCGCAGACATCCGGCTTCAGATGTCTATGTTGACCTATTGTGAAAGCAGCCAAGACATATCGATCCCCTTCAGTCCAGGGCTTCACACAGTGAAGCAGGCTGGCCGCTGGGAAGAGCAAGCATCGCATGCTAGTATCGTACAGCCTGCCTGCTACCAACTCTGAGCCATACTCTTCATAGTCTGTTCCACGTTCATCTTGGACCCACAGCTGGCCGTCCCTGTAATGGCTGAGACCAACAAGGAGCGTAGGTATCCTGGCATTTTGCACATCACGGTGTGGCGGTAGAGCTCCGTTCTTGCTGAGTACCAAGCTGGTCCAGCGATGCCTGGGACATAGCTGCAACACCAGGCTATTCAGCAAGACACATGCAGAGCGATGCGTAGCCGTGGATTGCGTGAGCCCAGTGAAGGACATCTGTCCAGAGGCCCCCAGTCGTGTGACCTGGCTGGAAACGGTACTACCCAAACGAGGCTCCATACTCATGGCGAGGCGTTGCACCACCTGTCGAACCGCACTCCAAAGAGAGCTCACGCCATCCTGCAGGATTGCCATCGCCAACTGATCAGCATCACTGCTAGACGTGGTAGGAGTACAAAGCGGTACAGGCATCACCAGGCAGGGCAATGAAGCACACGTATCGCACAGGGAGTCCGCATAGGCCAGCAACTGAGCGTAGCCTGAGTCATCAAGGTCCTCGCGGGCTACTGCCAGTATATCATTACGCTGGGCCATAGCCATCTCATTCGGCAGCGGCTCTGCAGTTTGCCTGGCCTTAAGTACCCTATATGCCTCCAAGAGAAGATACTCTTCAAAGGCATCTTGATATAGTTGAGCCGGCATGGGCATCTCCGTGACGGTTGGATCCTGCATCTCCCCCGCAGGCGACTCCCTTGAAAATGTCAGCGGACAGGTGCAGTGACAACAGTACAGGCCGCTACCTACTGGGGTCAAAGGAAGGAAACTAAACCACAACGGGGGGTGAGGCATGGGAATGGCAGAGGCTCGGCGTAGCAAGTGGACAGACCAGAAGTACCGAGATTCCCGAGGCACCGGCCAAATAACGTGATGCACGCTGAGGGAGCGTGATGGCTTAGCTTCGAGCACAGCAGACATGCGGAGGTTGCGGAAGTGGAGAAAGAAAGGAAGGGAGGGCACTGTGACTTGCAGCAAAGGAACTGGACTGGCTTGACAGACGTAACTAAATAACATGAACTGTACAAGGCAAGAGAAGGGCTCGCGCTAGCGGTGTTTCTTGCTTCAGCTTCGCACCTGTAATGCGCTTCGGCAGGCAGTGCGCTAACGCCGATTCCGGCTGCGCGTCGGCTTAGGGTGCTGGGTCCCAGATGAGCCCCACGAGGTAACATTGTGACAGGATATGCTGATCTCTTGACCCAGCCAGACGCGGCTTGCAGTTGTCATTAAGAATCAGACAGCGCCATCCCAATGGCGCTGAGGCACTAGGGTCCGCTTGCGGTACACACAGAGCAGTTTGGTAGTGTCCAGTTTGTGTGTGCTCTCCAACATGAAACACTACGTACGCAACCCGAAAGAACTCGAAGCGGATTTGCACTCCTGTTGGTGCAGAGAAAAACGGCATGGCGACTCGTTCACCGGGCTGCCACCTGACAGAGGAGAGGCATTTCTCAACAGCACGCCCTACAACAGCGTATCGCTTAAGCTGCAGAATGATGATACCTGCATGGCGGCTGATTGCATGGATGGAGTGCTGCTCATGCCACTTATGAATGATTTCCTCAATGGTGCTGCCTTGGAGATCCATCGGGATTGGCAGCTGCAGCGATCCTTCGTCCACCAGGGAGTCAGGATTACTCAGACGAGCTTGCCATGCGCCAACGTATGCAGCTGGCTTGGATTTTTCCAGCAGATGCACCATAAACTGACTTACGTCTTGCTCGCGAGATAGACCCTCCCATCCCTGCAACAGCATACGCCATGCAATACTGACTGGCAACCCATAACAAATGTCCTCATTGCCAGACAGCTGGCCGATCCATGCAAAGGCCTGCGATGCTGCATTCAAGTAGCAGATGTTATGTGGGTTCTGAAGGCTACTCTGAGGCACCTGAGGTTGCGTGGATAGGCACAGGCTCGCCATGGGCCCATGGCCTACGACTCCTTGGCCTCCATGCCTTCCTCGCTGGCGTCGCTCGTCTTCGGAGGGCGCGGTCGCTGTTTCTGCCAGCTGTTCTGCCGAGGTTTCCAATCGGCAAAGGAGAGGCCGGTATATGAGTCCTCGAGGGCTCGAGCCAGCTTGGACTGTTGGCCTCGGTCTGGACGAATCCGAAGTCCAGCTACCTTCAGGCACGCGTTGCCCGTCAGAAGACCCATGGCTTGGTGAACTTGCATGGCCAGGTTTCCGCGCATGGATAGAACCAGGGCAAACGGGAGGACTTCCCCCGAGATTTGCTCCGTCATCGGCCTTGTGGAGCGAAATCTCAAGAGCACGCCTGGCCCCCCCACATTGTTGATGACACATTGGATCGCCTCCCGTGCCAGTGAGTAAGAGATCGGAGCTTGCGTTGACAGCTCGACCGTCTGCTTCTCCGGGGACCATTGCTGGTAAACCCACTTGGGGTTCACAGCCTGCTCTCCTTCCACCAGCCACCCGACCGTGTGTATCTTGTCCAGCTTCTGCTGGTCCTGGAGCAGATTGTCCAGGCGTTGCGCCAGTTCCTGAAAGATGCAGATCAGTAAGATCACGCGAAGACTGCTGGTGACCTTCTTCTGCTGATAGAGCTCTTGCCACTGGGCAGCCTTCTCCTGAATCAGCTTGAGCAGTCCGTGTTCGCTTGTGTCCATAAACAGCATCCACGTGGTGTCCTGCCGGAGCAGGCGCATCTCCGACTCGTGACGCATTAGCATCTTCGCCACGTTCTTCAAGAACTCCTGCTCCGCTGTTCCCAGAGCAACTGGCTCGTACGACCATGGGTCCTTCGCCTCGCGCCACGAGCCATGGTAACCGCCCTTGCCGTAGGACTGTTGGCCTTTTGAGGCCGGCTTGTTCCACTTGGGCTTGCGCTCGTGGGAGTCGTCCGGTTCCGGAGTGTTGCGCTTCGCCCGGGGATCGGCTCCGAAGACATCCTCCGCCTCTCGGCGTGCTGCAGCCGCTATCTCCTGGTCCCCTTGCTCCATGATCCTGATCTAAATTGACAAGCACAGATGCAAGAGAGGCCTGGAAAACTGTCATGCAGCGCGATAGGTGAGTCCGAGGTGCCTTGATCTCGAGCTTGCAGTAATGGCAGGGGGACTCGGCAATCAGCCCTGTGCTCGAGCACCTAGCTGCCGCCTCCGTTTTATGCTGCCACTCTTGCGGGTGGATGGGCCTTATGTGCTGCTTGATACCTCCTACATTGGACGCCCACCGGCCACAGATGACGCAGTACTGCTGCAATGAGGACACATAGTCGGCCTGGGAGAGAACAGATCTCCACTGCATTTTCACAGCATTCCGAAAAGAACGACGCTCCAAAAGTGCAATCGGAGCGGAGACTGCCGGAGGGGCCCGGTGCGAACACCCAAGCAGCCCCTCACGCGTGTGGGGTACCTCCCCACTGACATCGCTGGCAGCTTCCGGCTCTTCGTGCCCTTGTTGCATCATGACCCGACAGGAACCTCTAAGATGTTTCTTGAGCCCCTCAACCCGGGTGAAGACTTTCCGGCAATGTATGCATTGTGGCATTCCGTCAACAGTGTTACGAACATACTCGGCCTGTGTGGGCATCTTGCCTTTCTTATAACCATGCTTGCGGGCTTGATGAGACCTGAGAAGCCGCATGTCAGCAAAGTAAAGGCCACACTCAGGACACGCAATAGGCTCACAGTCTGAAATCTCTTCCAGTTGGGTGCCACTGGGCTGAGCATGGCCTGGTTGAAAGCGCTGCGCTGTGTCCAAGGTAACAGAGAAGGACTGCCGACAGGCCAAATTTTGACAGGCCTTCAGTCGCTTACCAAGAAGCTTGCAGAAGACGGCGCTCGGGCTAAGGATACGGAGTCTCTTCCTAAGGGATTCAGTGCTTTCCATGGTAATGTGTGCGGGGCTGCGCGAGATGGCACGGAGATATCTAGCATCCTTATTTTCGAGTCGCCTCAGTATGTTGGAAGAGAGCCCGACGGCATGTTGTCCGTAGAACATGGAGCTACGCACGCACGAGGCATACAGCGTGACACGAGTGCGGAGGCCGATACCTGCGGAGTGAAGCACCTTAAGGAGGCGATGTCTGATTGCCCCAGCCATCTTCATCCGAAGTTTACATGTGCGCAGGGCGTAGTTATCCAAGGAGATCTCGATTCCAAGATATACAGCACTGGCCACATGGGGTATGTCAATCGGGTTGCTGGGTGTGCCTAGGCGAATGACGTACCCTTGCTGCGTCCGCTGCCTCTTACATCTCAGCCATCTCTTGGCCACTCCGCCGCGTATGGATAGGATGAGCTTGGATTTCGACGCGTTGACTGTCATTCCCATTTCTGCGAACAGGGCAAATGTAGCTCTGACGCTGCGGCAGAGGAAGTCCAAGCCCCTCTCATTCTCAATGAGCCATTGCAGCATGGTATCATCTGCGAACAATGTTACAAATCGGGCGGCCCACTCAGCATCTGTACGCTCCTTGAGAAGCTCATAAAAATACCCTGTGAAGACAGCAAACAATAATGGAGAGAGTGTACACCCTTGTCTCACTCCTAGCTCCATATTGAATTGCCCTTCGTACCGATTATGGCGGATGCTATAACGACACTGCTCGTGGATGTCCAAGATGGTGTCACATAGCTCCCGGGGCACAGATGCGGCACACAGTGCCTGGGATAACGCCCAGCGCGGCAATGCATCAAAAGCTCTGCTTAAGTCCAGACTTAATAGTGCGCCTCCGCTACAGCGAGGGGTGGGGTGGCCCAACCTACGATTATGAACCGTATTGTGAGCCTGCTTCAGCAGCTGTTTGATGCCATCACAGTTTTGGCAGACGCGATGAATTGCCTCATCGATCGACCGGCCAGGGAGGGTAAGCGTGTTGAGGCTTATCCTGGATCCAAGGGGAAATGTAGGGGAGAAGGCAGGCCAGGATCTTTGAACTCGGATCTTGGAGTCCCAGGGGCCTAAGATCCTGTGGTCGTCGTGAGGGTCGCCCCGGCTTGGGCAACAAAGCCAATTGGCAGGCTGTGGTCTCGACTGGCAGAGGCCTTTTCTGCAGTCTACAGAACTCTGAGTGGTCCACAAGATACCTAGAAAGAGGCTGCGCACAGGCCTGCCATACCTCAGCAACCGGACTATCTCGGGGAACAGCCTTGTGGGGTTTAAGACTATGTATGGCACCGGTGACCTCTGCCTCGTCGAGACCAATGTCTGCAAAGGCGGGTGCATATGCAAAGTCTTGCTGGCGCGCAAATGCAGAGCGAAAGTAACCCATTAGTTCATGGAACTGCTCCTGTTGCGTAAGAACTCCACCCTCTTTGGACCTTATGCGAACCGCCTCAAACTTTTGCTTAGGAGCAATAAGCTTCACTACCCTATATACCTCACGCATGTCATGGCGCTTGGCAGCCTCCCTTGCTCTTTGCACAAGCGCTTCAACGCGAGCTCGGCGTGCGGCTCTGCCCACGCGTCTGACTTCTCGCCAGGCCTGCATGAACCTTTGGTAACGCTTCCAGGCAGCGAAGACCTGCAGGAACGAGGCGCCCGGTCGGCGAGCTCTGAGACGCTTATGCAGAACCCACATACGACTGATGCCAGCTCTCACAACTGGCTCCGCACCTGCACGACGGGGGACAGCAACCGGGCCCAGGGGAAAATGCAGGGTACACAGTCGCAAAAGCTTGGCATTGAGCTGACAGATAGGCGTGGCAGGCTGAGTGTGTTCCACGCATTGATGCACCTGCTCTTGAAAGGCTTGAAAGATAGCGGTCTGATTGGCGAGATGCCATCTGAGGTCAGCCTTGGAGTATTGAAGGCGGGGGGCTTGCTGTGTACGGTTCATGAGTCTCCAGCCTGCCACCTTAGGAATAGTACACCCCAGCATGAGATGTTTGGGTCCCTGTCGCCAAGGCACAAGATCTAGCTGGATGGGCCCGGCCAGTTTTGCCTGTTGGTCCGCTGTAGCGCGACGAACCACCAGGTAGTCAAGCTGCGAGCGCACATCGCCATTCCGAAAAGTGGCGCATCTGGAGGGGTGCGAGCTGCACCATGTGTTCAGAACGCACAGCTGATGTTCCGTAATGAGAGACATGAGTTCTTCATCCACTGAATAGCCCTCGGACAACAACAAGCCTTTGCCAACAAAGCAAGAGTGCGAGCGGAGATTAGAGTTAAAGTCACCACCAAGCAGTAAAAGATTTCTTTTAGGGATGCTGTGAAGGGAGCAGCAGCAGTAGTAGTAGCAGTAGTAGCAGTAGTAGTAGTACTAGTAGTAGCAGTAGTAGTAGTAGTAGTAGTAGTAGTAGTGACTGTCGTAATTTTCGTAATTGTCGTACTTGTTGTTGTAGCTGTTGTAGTTGTAGTTGTAGAGCAGGTAGTAGCAAGTGGTCGTAGTCGAGGTCGTGATCGTGGTCGTGGTGTTGGCTTTACTGGTGGTTGTAGTGGTAGTGGCAGTGGTGGTGGTCATGGCAGTGGTTGTGGCAGTGGCAGTGGTTGCGGTGGTGGTGGTGGTGGCGGTGGTGGTGGCGGTGGTGGTGGTAGAGGTGGTGGTGGTGGCGGCGGCAGCGGCAGCGACAACACAAGCAAACCTATTTGTTGCAGTCGTACTGAAGAGCAGCCATCAAAATGCAATGTACAACACTAAGCGGTTCACCGGCAGGACCATTAGCTTGAGCATTTACCTGTTATTTTGCTTGATTTGTGTAGATGTAGCTGGGTATATGTGTCTACCCGAAACCAGACAACTGAAACAAATTTGGGTTTCCCGATGTCCGGCCGAATGTGTTCGATGCTTGGACTGGACGGGACAGCAGTCTATTCATGGTTAGGGTTTATAAGCTTAGTGGCTTGGAAATCGAACAAGAGCCATCTAAATTCTCACATCCGGACTCAGCCTGATCAGGGTCTCGATTCGGCTCGGCTAACACATGCCCACTGGTGCAACACTCACGAAGCACAATTCCAACAGGCGGAAGCAGGCAGCAGTCAAAAGCCGCAAAAACATAGTAAGTGACATAGTGAGCAAAAGCGAAGCCAGGCATCCAAATGTGATCCCAGACTGTCACAGCCTCAAAACAAAGAATCACAGAAGCTTCTTGAAGCAATGGACTCGGGCAATGCCAGCATACATGACGATTGCAACAAAAAGACCTCCCTTACGGAATCCCAGCTTGGCAGTGCACAGGTTGGCAGTGAACCGTGGCCGAGTACAGTCTCGAAGGCGGCGTGGCCGAGAAACACATCTCACTGTCGTCCTGCTTTAGGACTCCTCAGTCGGCCGAGCGCTGGGCGCTGAAAGTGCAAAACGAGCAGCCGTGCATGGATTCATGTACACATACACATGGCTGTACTGTACATATAGATAAGATGGATATCTGTTAGACATGTTCAGATCCGCTACATACACTCTACATATCTATAGGCTGCCCGTGCAATGCTGACGCAGCAGAATTGGATAGCAAGCCCGACGACTTCTCAGGCCCGATCCTCGCCAACCTGGCATGTGGATGCAGCAAACCTCCCTCATGCACAGGACCCCACGAAGACCTCCTTCTGCAGGAGCTGTATCAGATCCGGATTTGAGAACAAGTCCATCAGCTCCTGCACGGGCTATGATGATTAGGCAGTGAACTCCACTGAAAGCACGAAATGAAGAAAATATACATGAAGATACATTCAAACACAAGAACATACACACATGTTAACGTACGTACCTACGTATGTAGGCAGGTAGGTAAGTAGGTATGTAGGTAAGTGGGTATGTACGCGCACACCCGTGAAATGCGAGAAGCTGTGCACCCTCGAGATCTCTTCTGGTCCTTGCTAGACATTCCATCGCCGCCCTCACCGTCGCCAGTCGCCTTCAGGGTTTCCCGAGGCGGGTCCTTTTTTGAAACTTGGCTGGACTAAACAGGTGGTTTGGACTCTCGCAACTTGGACAATGCAGGCGAGATTCTTGTCCAGGGTTAAGGTCTGGGGCCTCTTTGCCTCCTGCGTTGCTAAGACTATACCCCTTCGTTGGGGCATAATGTCCCCGAGGGGCCATGTTAGGTAGGCAGAGCGAGGACTTCTGAGACCTGCCGTGTCACCCTGTATTCTCCATAGATATTTACTTTTGATTCTTGGCTCGTGAAGCTCAGAACTGACAAGCTGAAACAGTCGACCAAACCAGACGTACTAAAGGCCTCGGTTCATCCTCGGCTGACTAGCGTGGAGGAGGGCAGGGGTTTAGGCGTTGGGCCAGCAGCCTTGTCTTCCTCCTTTGCGACGACGGGGGGCGCCTGACAGGCCAAGCACACTGTAATTGTATGTGCACGATAAAGTAAGTGTGTGCGTGTGTCCTTGCGCATATGTATGTGTACTAAATTTGTACATACAGATGTACACGTATGCACACATGCGAATACATTTAGACCGCATCTACTTTCTGTTAATATTATATATTGAAACTGCATATACTGTACTTGAGGATACATATGTTTACACATAGTTACATATATTCGTACATTTGTACATGACATGCACACGCAATATGTGTGTGTGTGCATGCGATCGGCTGTAATACAAGCTTTCTTGGCTCCCACATGGAGAATGCTAGGCATTCCTGGACGTCTGCATACATTATGTTTGCAGCACTGTTTGTTCCCCTCTCGCTCTGCCGAAGGGCAACTGTATGTATGTATGTATGTATGTATGTATGTGTGTATGTATGTATGTATGTATGTATGTATGTATGTATGTATGTATGTATGTATGTGTGTGTGTAGGTATGTATATATGCAAGTGGTGTGTTATATGGGCTGGTGTGTATTTACATATATGTAACATGAACAAACTTGACACAGAGGGAAATACAAAGTTACCCAAAACGCATATACATGAACACGAACCGCTACAACATACCGCCTGGGAAACCACAAGTACATCTATATCTATATGTACAAGTACAAATGAATGCGCGTGTATGTCTGCCAAAAAAGTGTGCATGTATGCATGCATGTATGCATGTGTGTAGACGCGCTTCCATATAAGTATGGAACTAGACACTTCCCGAAAAGAATAAAAAACGCGATTTGATTCGTCGCCTTCTCCTCCACTGGAGCCTCTTTTGCCGGTGGTTGGGCTTCTTGCGGCTCCTGGGTGGCGTCTGGGTCAGGAGTTTAGCAAGCGTGCCTCTCAACAAGTATGTACATATGTGTACATATATACATATATATATATATAGGGAGAGACACATTTTTCATGTATATATATAGATATATTATGATATCACATCCTAACAGAATATACAGATAAGGTGACCAATAATTCGACTATGATAAATGCTCAAATCCACAATCATGCCCACACGTATACAGTACAGTATAAAGTATACTTAAAACTCATCTAATCTAATACTTTTGCCTCTCGCACTGCCAAGGCTGCGAGATGACTATTGCCAACCTGCTCTGAGTGAGGACAGTCAACCGAGCGTGCACACGTTATGCATTCAAAAGGGGTGAACACGTCGTCTATGAGCCCAGGCAGTTTTCTGTAGAACCAATACAGTATGAACTAATCAAGTATGACCTGACTTAGTATATAGTATAATATACATACAGTAGAGCACAATATGGACCAAGTTAAAACAATGCAGTACAATATAAAGTAACTCGTGTAAAGTGGTATAATGTGGCGTAATGTAGTATAGTTTATGACATAGTGACATAGTACGATTTCAGAAAATATAGCCCCGAATACAGTGAAGCATCATGAAATCTGAGATCCTGCCATCTTATAATTGAACACAACGAAGGATAGTACGGTACAATATGACATAACACCGCATAGCACAATAGCATAATAACACACCGTAAGGTGATAAATTTTCCCTCTACAGGATAACCCAATATAATGGCAAGGTATATGTGTCTATATGCACACACACTATATACATATATACATATATACCTATACATGTATATACATATATATATATATATGTGTATATATATATATATAAATGTATATATATATACATATATGTATATATATATATATATACATATGTGTGTGTTCGTGTATACCTATGTAGATTATACTGGAAAAGTAGTTTGTACTATTTGGTGTTACAACATTTACATCTCTTATATATTAAGTTGTTTTAGGTTAGATTACGCCAGACCCCATACTTCAGCAGAACGAACGTAAAAGGTAACACGCACTAGAGAAGCGTGAAACTACAGAGTATGTGATGAAGAACTCTCCTCTACTTACTTACGACCCCATCTTACCCTAACAGCCAGGCCCTCTGAGTCTTACCGCAACTGGGAGAGCCATCGTCACAGCGCATGGAGAGCTTCGGCTGCAGCGGACTTTTTAAAGCTGTTGCAAAAGGAGCGTTGTATTGAACGCAGGGGCACACCCGTCTCGCCATGCGAGCAACCAGTAAAGGAAGACTGCCAGACCAAACCAACGGACCTCTGATTTTTAAAGCGACGCAACGCAGTGAAAAAGCCGATGTCAAGCAATCAGCTGGCTAATTAGAAAAGAACCCACAAAGAAAATGACCATTTGTCGGGGCATCGGTGTCTACTTGCGTGGCTACACTCCAACAAACAGGTTTGCAAGACAACCTGCCCAGCCCCACGAACGCTGGGCAGCCGCGTGACTGCGTCATGTTACGATAGGCCTTGTGTAATCTAACCTCAGATTCAGTGTCAAGCAGCGGGTGCTCCCCTGCAAGGAGAGAACTTGAAGCACGACCCGTTTTCGGTGAGCCTTGCTACCCTGCTGAGTTCTGCTATGTAAGTTCGCCAGACAGCATTGAACTTCCGGGGTGCTTCAATTTAAATGTCAAGGCATCTGCCACATCAAAACAACATGTAGGTCTTGATGTGGCTGACCCAGATTCTCCGCACCACAACAGAGTCTCAAATTCTGCAACATGCCTTGGCATCTAAACGAGATCACAACAAACTTAGTTCATGCCTTCACGCCATGCGGCATATGCTGAATCAACAGGCGCAGCTATGCCTGGTGCTCGCTGTTGTGGCACATACTAAGCCGCGTTGAGATGCCCTCGAGGCCTAGATGAAGACCAAGAATAGCACGTTCCCAGGTCTCATGGTGCTTCCTTACATTACCTTGCACTTGCACCTCGATTTGACAAAGGCTAGACTCTAGAGGGCAACAGACGACGCAGGCTAAATGTGCATTCAAATCTGCGACCCAAAACGCGGGAGATGAGGGCAATGGTTGGGCAGTTCTCCGAACCCGGAAAAGCTTTGACCGCGAGTCCATTTCGGAAACACAACCACCAGGATTCACTGCCTAGAAGCCCTCTGTCCCAAGCACGGCCCCGAGCCAGGTCCCTCAACTCAACCCTAAGCCACAGCCGGTGGCCTTAGGCCAATGGGGCAGGGCATGCCGAAAAAGGCCGCTTTGTTCCGGACTCCATGGCGTGTCCCTTGGCTTTGAGACCGCCTCGGAGGTGCCAGCTTTTCCTCAGGCCACAGGACCACATGACTGGTTGGCCGAGGCTTCAGCTACAAGAGATGGACGGAAAGTTCAAGGCATCGGTAAAGATCTTGCAGCCCGAGCTCAACACCTTGTCGTTGCCCCCTGTGAAAAGGAGCCCATGCTCTGGGCAAAGCACGATGGAGACTATGCCGCGGCTGTGTGCGCTCTGGACGCTCAAGAGCAAGACAAGCTCGGGTTCGGAGTAGTGCCAGACTGAGATCGAGCCTGGGCCCCGGGGCACGGAGACTGCTTCCGAATCATTGGATACGGTTTTTCCTGCCTGTGGAGCCACAGCCGAAGAGAAGGCCTTCGGACGACTCTGCAGCTCTTTGGCGCAACAAGCGATGAACTCCCCTTAAGTCCAACCACGACACCTCCACTCGGGCGATACCGAATGGCAGTAATGGATGTCGACCTCGGAGCATCATGGCAGAAATGAGCACGTCTTTGACCAGATGCCCACTCCGCCTGCCACGATGGTGCGATAGATCAGCGTGTCTGTAAGTCTCTGTAAATCGTAGGTTCTCATTTTTTCCTGCCCTAAAACCGAAGTCCATGGCTTCGACAGACAAGTAGCTTTCCGAAGGGCTCCGTCAAGTTCAGGAGTTGCTTCAAGGAGCCCGCGATCTTCCACACTCGGATGGAGTGGCAGCCAGTGAAAACCTTAGGAAAAAGTTTTGTTCAACAGTCGTGTAAGTCCCACGGTCTCGGTGCTTGCGCGACAGCTACAAACAGCGCTGTGCATGCACGATACAGTGTCCATCTCGCCGTCGAACTGAAGGCAGTTGATCACATTCACCTGGGATATTGACGTATATCGGCGGGAGGACAGGCGCTCTCTCCTACTCGAGGCATCAGCGCTCGAGCAGCCCAGTTGCATGTGCTTCCTCGACCTTGAACAGAAGCCGGTAGGTGTTACCTCCAAAGCTTCGAAGAAGCAACAGACTGGAAAGTCTCTGAGAAGTTCCTCGCTATCTGCAGAGTGCGGCGTGCTTCGGGCACAGCATATCACGGCCGTTCCAGCCCATCTGCACTGCAAGACCTTCCTGCTTCAGGCTCGATTCCTCAAGTTCGGGCAAACTACCACAACCACAACCAGCAACAGTCAGCAGAGCTAAGATTGGCCAACCAACCAAACCTCCAACAAACCAAACTAGGCTGCCATCCAAGCAAAAGAACCCTCAGATGCAGATAAGGCGCATCGATGCGACAACCATCACTAAAACGACAACAGCGTGCACACAAAATGGCCGTTCCTTCTATGAACGCTTTTTCTGCCCAACACTGAGCTTGGTTTGTTTGGGACCCCGGGCCCAAGCCCAACATCCCGAAGCGCCTTGAAGCTGCCACACGCTGAGCCCACGATCTGCGCTCGCTGCCACGAGGCGCCTCGTTCCACTGTGGGCTGCGATGACCTGCGGTGCCCGTATGTGCCCGTCAAGTGCTCTTACGGCTCTCGGACCAAGAATCTTCGAGATCCCTGTCAACCCATCTCTCATCTACTGCCTGGTATCATTCTTGAGAAAAAACAGAAAGGAGCAAGATGATATGGCGGGCTCTCCACGAGGCTTGCGATTGACCCTCTTCAGGCTTCCGTAGCCGTGGCCTGGAAGCCGCTTGGCTCTGCTTCCTGGAACTCGGCGACCTGATGTAGGTCGTCTCCCTGGCACGGGTTGGCTGCAAGCTTTCGTGACGAATACACATGCAAACGAACATGCATTCCAGTATGCGTGAATGCCTGTATGTTTTTTTGTGTTTTCATGCGCACGCGAACAAGCATGCTGCTTTGCACGATATCGGCGCACATGTTTTTGAATGTGCACAAATATATACATATACTCAGGCGCATCAATGCATTCACTCATTCGTTCATTCATACACATACGCGCACATAAGTGCATGCATGGATGCGTGGATGCATGCATACACACATACACACGCATACAGATACGCATACTCATTCTCATACTCATGCGCATACATACCCAGATACATGCCGACCTACCTACCTACCTACCTACCTACCTACCTACCTACCTACCTACCTACCTACCACCTACCCAACCCGGCTACCTGCCTGCACACACCTACATACATATACACGCATCTACCTGCCCACCTACCTACATACGTACGTACATACTTTCGTACGTACATACATACATACAGCTACATACAGTTACATACAGTTACATACAGTTGCATACAGTTACATACAGTTACATACATACATACATACATACATACATACATACATACATACATACATACATACATTACATACATACATACATACATACATACTTCCTCACATATGTGTGTGCGCTGCATGTCTGTATATACATGTGTGTGTGTGTGTGCGTGTGCATACACGGGTTTATGTACGCATGAATGTACATACGTAAGGATGTACACATGCAGGTCTTTGAATTGTCTCATGGGACCTGGATCATGCAACAAATACAAGGTCTTGATACGGTACACAATATCGACGCACCGAAAAGAAAGACTCCTCAGAACTGACCTTGTGCTTGGCATGGTCTGTACAAAAATAAAGCCCCAAACCCAAAGCCAACACCAAAAGCGACACTGCAAAGTCCATGTAAAGCCCACTAAATTCCCATCAAAACCATAAACTAAGAGCATAAAGACGAAAAAAAATGGCCCATGAAACCCTGTATATAGTTCAACCCTCCAGACCCTTCTCTCACTCCCCTTCCTTTCGACTCCCTTCTTTTCTCTTTAAAAAAAGAAAAAGGCGGCCTTGAGCTGCCAGGCCCTGAGGGCCCCGTCTTCCCCGGCGGTGTGCAGCAGATTGGCACGCCGGTCCAGGTACATCGTGCGGATGGAGCCTTGATAGTTAGAATAGGGTTTTTTGGGTGGTTTCTTACTATAATTATAGTAGAATATACCCCCAAAAAACTAGTCTAATTATTAAGGAGCCTCGAATCTGAACGTTCTTAGACTGTTAGATAGGGTTGAATTAGGAGTAGGTTTCAGGGTTCGACTCACACACTCGCAACTGCAGGCATGGCAGGGTTCAGGGGGCCTCGAAGGACACTCCATGGGAGAGTTGCTTTACTCCCGGAAACCCACAGGTCAACGAGCCTTCGTGAGCCTCTGCCACGGTTGTGATGGGCGAGATCCGGTTTTGGTCCAGCCTGCAGGGACCCCCACTTAAAGGATCATGGGACTTAGTAAGTAGGGTTATAATTAGGGTAACTATACTTATAACCGCAATTGAGGGACTTATAACCTTACTTACTGAGTCCCATGATCCTCCAAGCACACCATCTCCGAAACCTCCGGGACTGGGAAAAGTTCTCAGCACGTCGGCGCCTCCAAGCATGAATGGAACCATCGAGGCCAGACGTGAAAAGCGTTCCTGGTAGAGGGAAGCTAGTGCACAGGTCGGCATCACACGCACACTGCATCTAAAAAAAATCAATTTAAGACCTTCTCAAGCTGCTCTGCAAGGGGACACAGTTAGACGAACTGCATGCAGTGAAAAGCTCGCACCCCAAACCCAAAACTCTGCAGTCACGGCTGGCCATATTAAGACAGGTTCTTTTTTCAGCCATGTTGGGTCGTGTCGGGTTTAGGCTCTTACAACCATTGCTGTGAATCGTCCGTTCTTTGGCTCGAACTTCATCGCCAGCGTTGGCTGCCTGCAAAGCACCGGCACAAAGAGCCATCAGCATGGACAGAACCACTCGGTATTCTTATCAATCATTGTGAACAGGTTCATCATCATCGCTACTAGTAAGTATGAGTGTCTTATGATGACTGCCATACTTGCCTTTTCTATGCTCTGCTATGTTCTCTAAACTTGAAGTGGCCGGCAACATTTATCATAAGACTCTGGCTACGGCTGAAACAGCTCTTATGGGATGGTGCTGGTCTAAGCCAAGAGGCTTGTTGTCTGTCTCCTGCGCTAGCAGTCGCAAGCGCCCGGTGGCCGGATCCGTCTGCCACGCCCTTATGCCTCCATCCATACCTCGAGTGGTGCTGCTAGTTCATGCCTTTATTGCTCCACGGACACCTTATTATATATAACTATAGTATAATATACTCCAAACCCTACTCTAACTATTAAGGCCCAGAATAAATCGGATCGGGTGCCACAACTCATGAGCAGGCGCGGCTTCACGAAGTATTGGAGGTTGAAGACAGGCGAACCATGCTCGTGCAAACCATCGGGGCAGGCTTCAAGCCCCCACTCCTCTGGCTCAAATGCCTGGGGAAAGCTTTGCGGTCTCCGACTGCAGTTCTGCAAAGACCACCCCCGCCTTGACCATGCCGTTGTCGCCACAGCTCAACACCAGCCGCCGCCTTCAGGAAACTGATTCAAAGCCAAAGCCATCCGAGCCACAGGAAAAGCCAAAAGCCAAAGCTATGTCCACCCCTTACGAGTCGCCTTCTCTCTCTTCAGCAGACTGAGACTAACCTCTTTGCTTGGCTCCGGGCCGGCCGTTGACCAAGACTCCTCGCACGCCATCCGGATGGGCATGCAGCGCCGTGCCCGTTTCTGCCAAAGCCACGCCCTGGCGCCTCCAAGCCTGCAGTGGCAACGCACTGCAAAAGAACAGCATCTGCTGCCGCATATAAGCTTGGACAGGGTCATTTCCCCCACCTTCACATGGCCGTCATCGCCACAGCTGACCAGCACCTCGTTGTCCACGTCGTAGTGGAGCGCACGGACCCAACCCTGGTGTGCCCGGACCGGCTGACCCACCCGCTCCAGGGCGGCGAGCTCCAAACGCCAGGCGCGGACTGAGCCGTCCATGCCTCCGCCCAGCACCACCTCGAGAGACTGGGAGGCTTGAGACTTACACGACCCGAGAGTCCGAGAGTCGGAGCGCCTTGGAGGCCGCATCGAGACGCAGGACGAGGAGGCCCTCTCCCTGATCGGGCTCCCTGTCCAAAGGCAGCGGCTTCAGGGAGTCCCCACCTGAAAGTTCTCATGCAGCGGCTCACACACCTTTGCAGCGTGCCGTGACGATTTCAGGCAGGGAGCTGTGCCGCCAGGCATTGATTTCGCTGGACATTCCCGCCGCAATAACAATTCCTGACGCGCTGCAGCTGATAGTCCACGGGAATCCTCTCAAACCACAAGCTGCCACCGTCCTGTCACGGCATCATACGCCTCAGATACCATGCAATCCGATGTAGAAGGTCGCATCCCTTCGATTGTCTTCAGCAACCTACGTGGTCTGTCAGAAGATAGGAACCTCAAGCAGTCAATTGGACACCAAACATCACAATATACTACTGTATGATAATATGATACTATGATAATATAATACGAATCATACGAACCTAAATGAATGGAGTCATATAATAATAAACAGTAATTAACTACATATCCTTTTTGCCGAGGAGCCAAGGCCAGGACGCCAGCTTGGAGTACCTCTGTGCTCGCTCACGAAGCTGCAACCTTTATTTTACATCGCTCTTTAGCTGTATACATGCACACGCACACACTTTCTCTCTCTCATACATGGATATATATATATATATATATACATAGCTTATATAGCACACATGCATACATACATGCTTACATGTATGAGGGTATACCCATATATATATATATATATATAGACACAGATATCTACATGCACAAGTACCGGAACCCTCCTCACCAAATGACGGGCATCGCGCCTGGCTTGATCGGCAAACCATCACGATCCTTTCGCTTGCATCCAGCTGCCACATACAGACGGCCTTGTCCACACCTTGCTGCGACGTCTTGCAGAGCTTGCCGTTTCGGAGGAAATCAAGATTTGCCACACACAGAAGTTAGAACCGGTGTGCCGTCCTGGCTACTGGTCGAGCTCATTCATACACCAAGTGCGGGGCTCAAAATTCGCTAGAATCGCTTGCAGCCCTGATAACAACGAAACCCTTGCCTGCCGTGAGCAGCAACTTTGAAGCAGCATCGAAGTTGAAAGCCAGAATCCGGCCACTGTGAGCGTTGGCCTGGCACTCATACACCCAAACACCAGAAGCTTCGCTTAGGCCCTCAACTAAACCCTTGGAATTGCCATCCTATCTGTGCAGCGCAGCTTTCTGTTTGCTGCAGCGTTGTGGTGATCGGGAAATCTCGAGGGGGGTTGGCGAAATGTAGCGACACTTAACATGGAAGGAGGTAGCACCTGAACGCTTTCAGGAGGCGAGCAGGCCTTCTTTGTAATTCGCGTCAGACTTCCAGCTCCGATCTCAATCTTCCAGGCACTGATTCCGCCATCGACGTCTGCGGAATAGCCTTGGCGCCGAAATTCCAAAGCTGCACGGAAGGTACAGGGCCCATGAGCCTCCACAAATCTGAATTGTAGCGGGGCACCGATTCCAGCCGAAGCATCAAGCTGAAGTGCCAGGATGCCTCCACCTGTCACACAGGCCGTGTGTCGGCATGAGCTGCTCGAGAAACGGTGTCGGCCCAAGTGTGTGCGTGTCAGGATTGTTGCACACGCTGGAGGCCGTTATAAATCTGTGCTCGACATGCTGCTTGCTCGTTGCCTCTTGCAAGAAGCCGCAGCAAATGTTAAAAAAAAGCAGGAGGGGTAGAAGTAAAGTAGAAGCACAACGTAGGGCAGAGTAAAAACAGAAGTAGAAGTCGCCGGCGTAGCAGCAGCAGTGATAGCAATAGCATTTGAAGGAGGAGCAGCAGCAGCAGCAGCAGCAGCAGCAGCAGCAGCAGCAGCAGCAGCAGCAGCAGCAACAACAACAGGTTGGTCGATCCCTGGCACATCCTCAAGAGCAGCGTGGAAGGCCCTTGTGCTTCCAGGGTTTCAG